CCGCGGCCCCTAAGGCGGCTTTCCGCCCGCAGGCGCGGCCCCCTTCGGAGGTCACTCCGCCGGCGACTTCGACGACGGGTTCCTGCGTAGGAAGCAGCGCCGCAACCGCACCACCTTCACCCTGCAGCAGGTAGGAGCCTGCTCCTCTCTGCCCCCTGACCTGCGCCCCGATTGCCCCCTGCCTGCTCCCTTGCCTGCCCGCCGCCCGCCCCGCCCGGCTCCCTGCCCGGCCCGCTGCCTCGGGCGGCCCCGCGTCCCCAGCCCTCGCAGAAACCCCCCTGGGGCAGCTGGACGGACGCCCCCGGGCCGGCAGCTCCCCGGGCCGCGCCGCGCCCCACGCCGTGCCCTGCCCCTGACAGATAGATGTGTTTGCTCTTCTCCCCTCCACCAGCTCGAGGCACTGGAAGCCGTTTTTGCCCAAACCCACTACCCCGATGTGTTCACTAGGGAAGAGCTGGCTATGAAGATCAACCTCACGGAAGCCAGGGTGCAGGTAAACGTTCTGGGGAATTATTTAACTCTTGGGTATTCAAACTGGCAAACTTTTTTTTTTTTTTTTTGACATCATGACTGCAGAGTGCACATTTGGCCAAAGAAAGCAAATGAAGACGATCTGTCATTTTCATGATGCACTTTAATAACATCAACATAATGTGGAATATTAGATTAGGTTGATTAATCGGTCATTCATAATTAACTAGTGATAATGTTCTACACTAATTTGTCCGCGTCTCCAAGGTACTAAATTACATCAATGCACATCCATTTCCTTGCTTTTGGAGGGGGTGTGTGTGTGGAGAAAAGAGCTGAGACGTGATTCTCCAAAGCAACTATGACCACTGTCGAGCAATGGGGTTAGTCAACTGCAGGGAGCCCAACTGCCAGGAAGAAATCTTCTGCACCTCTTCAACTTTTCTCTCTTTCTCCTTCTTTCTAAACACTTAATTAAAACAGCTAAAGAGCCTGCAGAGCAATTCCCACACTGTTAATATGATCCAATAAATACCATTGGCCACGATCACTCTCTTTCAGTCCCCCTCTTTTCCACCCCTTCCTTCCTTCCTTCCTTCTCCCCACTTTTTTTTTTTGATCCAAGTGTTTGCTTTTCCATATCCAGGGATTAACTTTGTGTGTCTACAAGCTCTGCTAAGAACAGCAGTCCTGCAGTTGTCAGAGATGGATCCCTGTAACTCCGCAGGCATCCACCACAGAGTTGCAAACCATTTTTTTGAACACAATTATGTATTCATTTTATTTATGGGGCTTTTCTGCACGCTGTTTTTGTATTTTTTTTTTTATTTTATTTAGGTGCTCGGGGTTAAGACTATGCAAAGATCTAATTGTAGGAAATATAATAGCTTGCCTTTTGTTCCCTAGGGTCATGTTAGTATCTCTTAAAACCCAATGGCTGAAGAGAGATAATGGAATTCACCACAGTAAATTGGGGATTGTAAACAAATTATTTCTCCTATAATCAGATTATGCGATCCTGATTATTAAATCTGAACATGAATCATTGGTCATATGCGGGCAAATTAAACTGATTATTATTTGGAAATGAAAATCTCCTTTTGCCACTGCATTGTAGGTACTGGCTTAAAAAAAATAATAAAAAATGCCATTTTGGCTATTGGTGCCTAAAGACTGAACTGCAAATTGAGATAAATGGGACAATTATTGAGCATTCAGAAGTGGAAGATCATAACTTCTTCCTGAAAGGTGCAAGGGTGAGATAGGGGTGGTGACAATTAGATTGCTGAGGACTGGTGTTTAGCCTTGTTGTTGGCTATTATGCAAACAGACAATAGATGCAAGCATTTGTTTAGCCTGCTTTCATGCAGGGACATGGGGAAACACAGAGGATGGGAGATATGTTTACATTTATACCCCTTGCTCATTCAAATATGATTAATGTGCTATAAAGCAGAGTCTTAATCGAAGATGATGTTGTCAAACAATAACTAAATAGGGAAATAAACGACTTCATCATGCTCTTTCCTCAGAAGCAGGCGAACTGTCAGTGCAAAGTCATTAAAATATGATAATGAAAAATAGCTCAATTAAATGTTGTTATAGCTGTGACCTTCATTCAATTAAGACACAAGAAAGTGTCTGCATTTTGCTTTGCATTTAACTGCTCTAAATTTAGAATATAGATAAAATCATTATTCAACGTTTGCTGATACATGCAATTAAAAGGCAGCTAACTAAAATGGAGTTGGAGGAGGAGAATAATAATAATAACAATCTCGCCTATACTTGAAGTCATGTATTAAAATGTGGATTTCCTGACCTCAAGAGAGGCTTGGCATTTTCCACCTCAAATAAAGTGCTTTCAGAGCATAAGCTCCAAGGTAAATGGAAAAAAAAAATGTGTTTGGACTCAAAGTCAGGGGATAAAATCAAGAACATGAATATTTGTATTGCATTACAGGGAAAAAGTAAGTTTTGGAAATGGTGTGTATTAAACTGCAGAATGATCTTCCAAAATTAGTATCTACCACCTTTTGAGTTGTCTAAATGCAGACTGGACAAATACATCAGAGGAATAACAGCAAGTATCAGTCCTCTCCAGGAAATGGGCTGGATAAGATGGCCTAATACATACCTTTTCATTTCTGACCTCTCTGATTCTAGCAGCAGCTCATTTAAAGACTTATATATGGTTTTGCCAGAGTGCTTAGATACATATTTAAGTCCATCCCTATACAAAAGGCTTTTAGATGTGTTAAAACATAGAAATCAGTGAGAATTAAATGCGTGCATAAAGGTAAGTACATGTTTAAGTGTTTTGCTAACTGGCACAGTAACATCAAAATTCTTTTTTATGGGTTTTTTTTTTTCATTTTTGACATGCCTTTTGAATATCTTTAGACATTCCTGGCTTGTTTTCCAGACACAGAAATATTCCACATATAAATGTAATCCTAAGGCTCAACTAGAATAACAGTGGGGACACAAAATAAGAGGAATTTTTAGCCAAGCTTCTAAATGACTGATTTCACCAGAGTAACAATTTACAATTTCCTTGCTTTGCATTTGGCTAAACATGGTATTCAGCCTGGATTGCTCTCCTGCTCCAGGTGTGGTTCCAAAATCGACGAGCTAAATGGAGGAAAACAGAGAGGGGTGCTTCTGACCAAGAGGGCTCTAAGGAAACAATGGCTGAGGTGGCTCCTCCTGCAAGGAATTTAAATTCCCCTTCTCCAGCAGATCAAACCAGGAATAAAAAAGAGAGTCTGGAGATCCAGCAGAGGTAAGAGTAATACATGTTATCAACTGCGTCTCTTTGGGGCAAGCATGCATCATACATATGTATATATACAGACTTGCCTGCTGCTAACCCTTGACCTACACAGTGTCATCTTCAGGTAGAGCCCAAATCATTAGAAGACGAGCTGTCTCTCTTGCAACTCACTGCTCCCTGTGGAGATGCTGAGAAGCTGGTGGCCTTGGGAGGCTAATGTTATCCAGGCTTGGTCCCATCTAGTTGGATGCTGAGACACCAACGTGTTTGTGTGCATGCACAAATGCTGTCTTTGGAACCAACTAGTTCCGTAGTTTTGTAAGGAACTTGTTTTCTCTTCTCCATCAGCCTGAGCCGAGCAGTAGGTCCTACAGGACCTTTCTTCCCCTCCTGCCTGCCGGGGACTCTTCTCAACACAGCCACCTATGCACAAGCTTTATCCCATGTCGCCTCTCTAAAAGGTAAGTGACTTGGTTTAACTTCAGGGATAAGCTCAAAGAGTGGCTCTTTCAAGCTAAGCAGCATGGTCCCACCTGAGGCAGCAGGGAAGTCTTTGGGAAATGATGGATCCTTCTTTCTGTTATGATTGGCAGTAATTGCACTGACTGATGCTGCAGGTACAGGAGTGAGTCTCCTGTTGTAACTTGTAGCATATTTGTGGCGAAGCTCCTTCATTTTACTTGGTTAGTTTTAGTGAGGTCAGGGTTTGTCTCAAGAAGCAAGGCAGGTAGGGTTTTCTCCTTTAGAGTTTTCCTTGCGTATGCTTTCTTTTAAGAGTCAAATTTATACTAATAAATTAGTTATACACATCCTTTTGCATTATACATTACCTGGCACTGTTACTGATGCCTCATCTGCTCTTTGCATGTGGTTTCCTTTGCAGTACATCTCTGCACAATGCCAGACCTTTCTCTTCTTGAACAGCATGTCCGCTTTGAGAACTTGAATAAAGTGTGAGCGTGGAGACAGGGGAGGATAGAAAGTAAATCCTTATTACCTGGGACCCAGGCTTCAGGAAGGGTATATCCAGGGTATATCCATATCCTTTCAGTTCCCAAAAAGCAGCAGTATGCATCTTTTAAAAATAAATCACCAGCTGATCCATTAGCTGTTCCTAGTCTAACAATTTATAAGACTAAGGGTGTAAGCAGGATGAATTCAATTTATAGATTTATAGGATGTAAAGCCTCATAGCACTGCCAAGCACAAAGTGGCACATACATTTACTCTGTGCCCCAATGTGGTGCAATAATCTGTGGGGAAACTTTCCCAGTTTAAGACCCTCTACTACGAACACAAATGTCCTCTGATACCTCTCACTATATTCTCTGACATACCTCATGCTCTTCGTGAGTATTTCCAGTTAGATCAGCATTACCAAGGTATATTCCTGAAGTAAATGCTTGGAACTGCTGAGTTTTGCATTAAGTCCAGTGTCCTGCTCCCTGTTCCCCCTTCCCTCCTGTCTTTTCAAAAAAGCTGAAGCCAGACACATCATACAGCTACTGGTATTTTGATAGGTGTGGCACCTGTGATTTTGAATCAAGAAAAGTCACACAGAGGTGTGACCTGAACCCTAAAACTTAAAGGATGACTGTCAACCTAAACCCTGTAAATGGGCAGTGGCTGTTGGACTGCATGAGTCCTCTTCATGTCTGCTCTGTGACTGCAAAGTTTTAAGGCAGAGACTTTTGGCTTCTTTCACTGGGCGGGGACAGCCTCTCTGGAGTAGATATGGGTGAAATTCTTCAGGCAAAAAGGTCATTGATAAATGTAGTCCCAGGCAGGTTGAAAGTTGTGGAAATGGGGTTGTGTTCAGTGAATAATTTTGGATGGAAGTAAGGTGGTTTTTTTTTTCCTTAAAATTTCCATTTAAGCATTTTGAAAATTAAATGCATCAATACATAGTTCTCACGTGTTTCATGTTTAAATGTGGCTAAATTTTAAGAAAAATAACCCAAATAAAAAAAAACAAACAAGCAAAATGAAATAAAAATGAATGAAAAAAATTGTCATGAGGGTTTTTTTAGTTTTATTTATTTGGAAGACTTCCAGATATTCTTTTCTGTGATTTTACAGCTCAGCCACTAAATTGAGAAATTAATAATTTGCTCCTTTTTGCTTGATAGCAGTTTTACAACCTAGGGGCAGGAAAAATCCTACTCCTGAATCTCTTGTAGAGAAAGTTATTATAGTCAGTTGCCCAGGCTAAGAGGCAGTGTCCCTGAAAAATTGGTCCCAAATCTAAATATAGATTTTTTTATAATTTGTATAGGGATGGTCAGTTACCAGATGCATGTGTATTCTCTTGATGAATGGTGTCAGCTACATATGCAGTTCCTTGCTGAGATGACCAGTTTATATTTCCTGCCTGGCACTAGAAATCTCCAGATACATGCAAGGGCATGTGATAACGTGGTATATTTTGATTTTAAGAAATCTAGTTACAGGTTTGTATCCATATATCCACCTTTTTTTGCATCTGCAACTGCCTATCCACCTACCAGGAACTTTGTGGAGCTGCCTGTGCCTGTCAGCATATTGTTATACTTGCAAGAAACTGGTAGACTGAGCTGCTGCTTTGAGGAGCGATGTTTTTCTTCTGCAGCTAGGCCTCAGTAATGTCAAATTTTGGCTTTGAGGTTAAGGAGGAAGAATTTGTTGTTCCATAAGGTGGCAAAGAACAATTGTAGCACCTTTCTTGTGGTATTTATATACAGAGTATTTTCTCCTCTTTCCTTGGCTCATCTCTACAAGTTCCTCTTTCCCTGTTTCTCCAAGAGCAATTCATTGGGCTGGGGTAGGGGCTGTGCACAGCAGACCTTGAGCTTCAGTCTCGTTAATTGACAATGATGAACAGGATGATCTCTAGAGGTTCTGAGTGGACCAAATTTATCACAGGCCTGATTCACATTTTGTTTTTCTTTGGTATGGAAACAACCAGGTGAACGATGGTTCACCTAAATCAATGCATTTGAGAGCACAAGCAAGCTCACATGTCAGTCTGGAGGAAGAGATAATGGTTGTGGGAAGGAAGGAAAGGACAGGGAGAGACACAGCATTCACAAATCCTTTATATGACCTTCTTCGTCTTGCTCAATTCAGTTTGTTTGACTCTCCCTTCTCATTTCCTCCTTTGAGCTAGGAGCTGATTTGTACACTTCAGGCCTGTTGAAGGACAACTAACCCTACATTTAGGTGGGCATTAGTCTGTGTCCTTATGTGTCTTAATGAAGTGACCTAAGCTTCTCCCTTGACAATCTAGCCACATTTTGCAGCAGAAATGCCGACAGGACTCTGCCACAGTGATTCTGATGGCATAGGACTGTATGCCACACAGAATCCCATCAAATTCAGCACAGGGCATAAAATTCTGAGCTGTTTCGGTTTTGGATTGCTTGGATAAGGAGAAATTCAGCAAGTAGTAAGGTTTTCCAAGATTTTTCAAGTTTTATTGAAGAGTGAAATGATCAAGAGCTCTTCCTGGTATCTCTCTTGTGCCAACCATGCTTTGAAACTACCAGAGTCGTGGTTTAACCCCAGCCAGCAACTAAGCACCACGCAGCTGCTCACTCACTTCCCTCCCACCCAGTTAGATGGGGTAGAGAATCAGAAAAAAAAAGTAAAAGTTGTGGGTTGAGATAAAGACAGTTTAATAGGACAGAAAAGGAGAAACTAGTAATTACTATGATGATGATGATAATAATAATGACAATAATAAAAGAATTGGAATATACAAAACAAGTGATGCACAATGCAATTGCTCACCACTCACCAACTGATGCCCACTTAGTTCCCAAGCAGTGATCCAGCCTGGCCAGCTCCCCCAGTTTATATACTGGGCATGACGTCACATGGTATGGAATACCCCTTTGGCCAGTTTGGGTCAGCTGCCCTGGCTGTATCCCCTCCCAGCTTCTCATGCCCCTCCAGCCTTCTTGCTGGCTGGGCATGAGAAGCTGAAAAATCCTTGACTTAGTCTAAACACTACTTAGCAACAACTGAAGACATCAGTGCGTTATCAACATTCTTCTCATACTGAATGCAAAACTTACATAACACTATACCAGCTACTAGAAAGAAAATTAACTTTATCCCACCCGAAACCAGGACAATCAGGAATTCTTTGTGCTTTTAAAACCAAAATAGTTGTCCAGAATCAAAGCACCATTTCACTACCAATTGGTGCATGACCCTGCTTTCTTCTATGCAGATGTCAAATTAAATGCAGCTCCTCTATATGGATCCTATAAATAGATATGTATTCCAACCATTGGGAGAACAATCCTGGCCAGTAAAGGGAATCATATTCTTCAGTAAGGCTGTAAAACCTGCCTGCAGACAAATGGGCACTCTCAGCACATCAGATACTACTGGGAAGTCTAGGTTGTTTTCTCATTCTTTTGAAGAGACAAGACGTGCTTTGTTGGGCTTGTGAGCCAACACTTCATTGGTGTCAGTGAGTAATATTTGACTGATGCTTTAGTAGGAGACAATTAAAATCAATACAGTGAATAACAAGTGATGATGGCGATGTAACTAATTAATAATTATTTTATGCTCTCAGGGACCATTTTCATTCTGCCACCTGAGAGTTCTCTGTCTTCTGTAAAGAAACTAACACCTCTCTTTCTCCTTCTCTGACTTTGATTGCTTGGCTCCAGACCCAGACTTCCAAGGCTGCATAAAGTGTCTAGGGCACGTGGTTCCTGGATCTAATTTGTAGTATAAGGGTATAATAGTTGATGATGAAGTTGGTCTAGTAGAGACAAGAAATCTCAGGACAGCCTAGCATGGGGCAAGGACTGAGCCTGCAACTTTGCTTTTGGAAAGACTGTGTGGTTCACTGTAAGCTTGCCTCCTGCTTTGTGTGGCTCTGCAACTCTTCAACAGGCAGCGCTCATCTGAACCCCACATGTACCACTTCTAGGAAAATGGGGTATATTGTTGGAACATGAGACCAGATCTGCTCTGATGAATGAAAAGAAAGCTACTCTCCCTAAGCACTATGCCCCATGAACTCCACTGTCTCTGAAACTGAGATTTCTTTTTTTGTCCTCAAAGGGATGGTATTACCACCGCAGGACACTGAAGAAAGCAGGCTGGCTAAACAATAACAATCAGAACTGTAAATCAGAGCACACAGCGTTCCAGAGAAGAGTATATTACCACTGGACAGTTTTTCTCTGTTTCTATCAAATATTCTCTATTCAGTAATACAACAGACATTTTCCTTCCTTAGCTGAATCCTCTCCCTCTGTGAAGTTCAGCACATCAGAGGCTGTACTTAGGAGCAAGCATCTGTTAGCTACCTTATCACCTCACTATGTACTATTCTTTCAGGAAATACAATTTCTCATTTGAAAAATTAACATAAGATCATAATTTCTATGGTATACAGGGTTTCCTACTTCAGGGTTTTAGGTCTTCACCACTGGCCATAGTCAGGAAACAGGTTGGC